CTTCACTACATATTTTCCAGTGTATCCAGTGGCACCAAATATTATTATGTCCAAACGCTCATTCGCCATTTTCCTGCAATCCATACCAAACTAATCATTATATAATACCTTTTATATAGCTCACAAGGAAACTCACTGAGGTGTTTTCCAACGATGAGCTTAATATACTGTTCTTTTTAAACAAAAATAAGGAACACGTTTTATTTTAGACGTGCTGTTGTGCCTCTCGACGCAGTCGAGGCACGGGATGTGATTCGGGATCGTTTGCCGGGTTCACACAACGACTCTAGGTCGACGATTCAACAACCGTTTAAATAAAAAAGACTTCTTTATTCAGAACAAGTATAATTCTTGCACTCGCGTTAACAGCAGTTAACCGTATCGTTACTTAGTTTAGATTGACCCGCCTTCCTTCCTTTCCATTCCTTTTCATATCAATCGCGCTTGGCCCTGTTGTCAGGCCACTTATTGTTTAGTAAGCAGTTGTTTCGTTAGCAACTGTATGCGCGGCTTCGATGGATTCGTACTTTGCTCCGGATACTCGTTTTCGCATGCGGCAGGTGTTATCTGATACCTTGCCGCGTGCGAAGTCGTCGTCTGATGTGCGGTATATCGCACTCATGACACCCTTCCCCCCTAATGGAAAGAAAGTGAGGGGGCGAACTTTATTTTTAATCCTAATTAATTCTATAGGATTCCTATTTTTGTTACTATATGTTTGATTTACAATTACGCTTGATTTTGTTCCTCTGTGGCAACGGGCTTCATTACTTTTCTCTTTTTCTTGAGTTTTTTTGTTATAATACAGGTTATTATTATTGCGATTGAAAAAATAGTAATTCCGCTCGTTGTCATGGGGTATATAAACTGTTTTTTATGGTAGAACGGTTCTTGGTTTTGCTCGCATGTGTAAGCTGTTATATCTCGTACGCATTTTTCTAATTCTCGCTCGCTTATTTGTATGTAATGTTGGTTTTGTTTATCTATCGCTAGTATAGGGTGGGTTATCTTTATTAGCATAAATACATTCGCGTAGTCATGTATCGGTAATAGTACAATTTTTATTATACGTAGGGTACGATACCGCTGGAAATTTCAATATTGCGTAAACGCGTGAGTTTTCGTAATATGCACAGACCTTGACATAGTTTTGAATGGTCCGTCAATTTCCTATATTTGCTCTAAACGGGAAATGTAATCCGTTTGATAGATGTACTGGCGCCTCTATACTGTCGATTGGTAATAGGTGTGTCAGTATAGTAGTGTCTCGTGCGTATGTAGGAATTCTATTACGTCCTTTATATGTCGTCGTTTAAATCCGTTATGGCTGCATTTAGTAGTATTAGGTGTTCGTCTATTTCTTCTCGCCGCCGGTTCCGGTTAGTCGGTGAGTTTATTAATTTTCTATATATAATTTTAGGCGGTTCGCGTGTACTCGCGTTGTTTTTCGTCCCTTTTTTAATGTAAAGTTTACGTTATTGTGCTTCTCTATTATTGTATAGGGTCCGCTCCATTGGGAGTCTAGCTTTTTCGATCTTCCTCTTCGTAGTGTTTCGTCTAGTAGAAGCACTCTATCGCCTGTTTTGAAGCTTGTTTCCTTTGCTTTTTATCGTAATATTTTTTGCTTTTTTCTTTTTCTTCTTTTGAATTAGCTTTTGCTATTTGGTTTGCTGCGCGTATTCTTTCCTTTAATTCTTGCGCGTAGTCATCGTATGTGTATGTAAGCTTTGGTGGTTGGTTAAGAGCTGAGGGTAGGATTGCTTGGTGACCGTATATTAATTCAAAGGGTGTAAATCCCGTTGTTGTGTGTGGTGTTGTATTATACGTGAACATTGCGTATGGCAACCATTCGTCCCAGTCGCTTTGCTCAGGATTTATATAATGGCGTAAATACTCTGCTAGTGTTCGATGGGATCGTTCTAGTGCGCCATTATTTTCTGGATGGTATGCAGTTTGTTTGAATTTTTTCGATTTTTAATAGTTTATATGTATTTTTAAAGATTTCACTAACAAAATTTGTGCCTTGGCCTGTCAACACTTTTTGTGATGTACCATGTTCGAGTACTATTTTTGTCGCGAATGCTTTGGCGACTGTATTTGCTTCTTGGTTAGGTATAGGTATGGCTTTGCTAAATTTTGTTAAATTATCTTGGAATGTAAGGACGTACTTATTTCTTGCTTCGGTAATCGTTAGCGGTCCTACTATGTCTAATGCACATTTTTCAAAAGGCATAGAGGGTGTATCTGTAAGTACTAATGGCATTCGGGTTTTTTGTCGTAGTTTATTTTTCTGGCAATAATCGCATTTGGCTATATATCTCTCGACATCTTTAGTTATTCCGTGCCAATTGTGTAGCAACCTGATGCGGTTAAGAGTTCGCGCTACTCCTTGGTGTCCTCCTACGGGGGCGTCGTGATACTCGTATAGTATCTGTTTCTTCTCTTTTTCCGAGTATTCTTCTCGTTCCTCTTCTTCTTCGTTATCTTCCTTCTTGAAGTTATTTATTCGGTCCACTTTTTTAATTGGGTATCTGCTTAAGGTATCTGCGTTTGTATTTCTTTTTCCTGATTTGTGGGTGATCTCATAGTCGTATTCTTCTAGCTTGAGTCTCCATCTTATTAGTCTGGATCCTGGATCAGTTACATTGAATAGCCATATGAGCGGCTTGTGATCCGTAATTATCTTGAATTTGGTTCCATAGACGTATGGTCTGAAATGCTTTACTGCCTATGCATAATTCCTTTTCGGTTGTATTATAGTTCTGTTCTGCTCGTGATAGTACACGACTGGCATATGCCACTGGCCGGTCTTGACCTACCGTACCTTGCGATAGGATGGCTCCGATAGCGTAATCTGAGGCGTCCGTTGTAATGAGAAACTCCTGATTGAAGTCGGGTATCTCAGCACAGGTGCCGTTGTTAATTTAATTTTTAATTGCTCGAACGCATTTTGTTGGGCTGTCGTCCATTGAAATTTTTCTCCCTTTTTTGTCAATTTCGTAAGTGGTTTTGCTATTTTTGAAAAATCTTCAATAAATTTTCGGTAGTATCCTGCCAGACCGAGGAATGATTGTACATCTTTGACTTTGCGAGGGGTCGGGAATTCTCTTACTGCTTCTAGTTTCGAAGGGTCGGGCGATATTCCGTTTTCCGAAATCACATGTCCTAGGAACATCACCTCCTTTCTGAGAAACTCGCATTTGTCTGGCTGTAATTTCAAGTTATTATCTCGTAATCTTTTTAACACATCGATAAGTCTTTTGTTATGTTCTTCTAAACTAGGACCGTAGATCACGATATCGTCTAAATAGACTAGGCATTTGAGCCCTTGTATTCCCATCAGTACAGTATTCATTAGGTGTTGGAAGGTTGCCGGGGCGTTCTTTAGCCCGAATGGCATTCGATTAAATTCGTAATGCCCATACGGAGTTGAGAATGCTGTTTTTCCTTTATCTCTCTCTGCCATTGATATCTGGTGATATCCTGAGGCTAAATCTAGGGTGGAAAAGTATTTCGCGTTTCCGAGTTGATCCAGAATATCTGTAATGTTCGGCATGGGAAAGGAGTCTACTATTGTTAGATCGTTAAGTTTTCGAAAATCAATTACTATGCGCAATTTCTGTTTTCCTGAAGCGTCCATCTTTTTTGGTACTACTAGTAGGGGTGCGTTCCACTGGCTGGTGCTAGGTCTTAGTATTTGTTGATTCAGCATTTCCTTCATCTGTCGGTTGACTTCTTCTTTATGTTTCTCTGGGAGACGATAAGGTTTCACGTTCACGCTTGGAGAATTGGCGTGTGTGTTTATCTCGTGCTCGACACTTGTAGTATGTGTGAGTGGGTCTCCTTCTATACGAAAGACGTCGTTATATTCTTCACATATTTCCATTAGTAGTTTCTTTTCTTCGCGGTTCAGATGGCTTATTCGTAATAGATTTGTTATCTGCTCGGTTCGTGGAATGGGGATGGATTCCTTGACCTTTATGTGTGCTAGTTGTGCGCTTCTTGCTTCGGCTTGCGTACTCTCTGCTACGCTTTCAATTGTAACATGCGGTGCCTGTATGTCTATCTCTTTCTCGGTCGTGTTCAATATGCTTACGGGGCAAGTATAGTCTTTCGGTGTGACCAAGCAGTTACCGATAAAGACTCCCGGTGCCGGTTCCGCTCTTCGCGTCGTGTCGTCGCGTTCGTACGTGCGTCGGGGGTTGCGAGGGTTAGAGATTCCTACTCGTGGGTCTCGATTTCGAAGACCTGACGCCAGTAAACTACAAGGTGTGTCCCAAAAGTCATGAAATATATATTTTTTAAAAAGATTTATTGACAATGCCGGTCCAAATTGTTAATATTCTTCAAAGTACTCTCCACGAGCATCTACACAATTTTTCCACCGACTCTCCCATGCCCGGTACGCCCTCTCGAAGGCCTCGACGGAAACCTCCTTCAAAGCTGTCGTCACGGCCGCTTGGATAGCCTCAATGCTATCAAAACGGCATCCTTTGAGTTTTGTTTTGATCCTCGGGAACAAAAAAAAGTCGGCCGGAGCTAGATCGGGACTGTAGGGTGGCTGCGGCAGCGTTACCACGTTGTGCTTCGCCAGGAACTCACGGACGCGCAGAGACGTGTGGCTGGGCGCATTGTCATGATGCAGCACCCAGGTAGTGGCGATGTTTTTTCGCACGCGGATGACCCCTTTCCTCAATCTTTCCAGAACATCCGCGTAGTAGGCAGCGTTGACGGTTTTTCCTTGAGGTACAAATTCGTTGTGGACCACACCTTTGGCGTCGAAAAAGACAATCAACATTGTTTTCACTCTGGATTTGCTCATCCTGGCCTTTTTTGGTTTCGGGGACGCCGGAGTGTGCCATTCGGCACTCTGGTGCTTCGTCTCTGGATCGTATTCAAATGCCCACGATTCATCACCGGTAATAAAACATTGTCTAAAAAATTAGGATTAATTTCCACACGTTCCTTCAGTTCACTCACGATCAACACTCGATTGGTCTTTTGCTCGTCCGTCAACAGTTTTGGGACCAGCTTGGCGCACACCTTTCGCATGTTCAATTCGTCCGTAACGATGCGATGCACAACAGTTTTTGGAATGTTCAGAGTGTCGGCTAATAACCGAACACTCATTCGACGGTCAGAATTTAACAAGTCACGCACACGAGTCACATTTTCGTCGGTTTGGCTTGTTGTTGGCCGTCCAGAGCGGAGGTCATCGTCCACTCCTTCCTGGCCCTCCTTGAACTTCTTCACCCACCTCGAAACTTGCACATAAGATAAAGCAGACTCCCCGTACGCTTGCTTGAGCAATTCGTGAGTTTCGGCAGCTTTTTTATCGAGTTTTGTGCAAAATTTGATCGCACAACGTTGTTCGAAAGTATCCGCCATCGCGGGTCGTGACGTGGTGTCGAAACGAGGGTGCACTTAATCAGCTATTCTGACGCTTCTGATTGTCGCAGCAGACTGAACGTTGGTGCGAAATGAAGCTAATAGTCCCCCCCACCTCACCCAATCGGTCCGAACACGCTGCGACCAGTAGGGGCGCGGCAAAAAAATATATTTCATGACTTTTGGGACACACCATGTATAATCGCTTATCTCGAAGGGAAATTCTCGTTCTACTTGGACGTTAAACGATGAGCTTGCTTCGCTACCGCTGCTTGAACGGGTAATGTTTAGCGCGCGACGCGAGTCGTTACTTATGTTAGTCAACGCATCGGCGGCGATTTGTAACGCGGATCCTTCCTCGGCGGGAAGTGTGCGCGATTCTAACGATAACGGTGAGTTATCGGGGGTCAATCTCTCACGCCCGTGTCCTTCCTGGGACATTCGCGGGTGTCTATCTTACTGTTCGCTAATCGCGGTATGGCTCGCAGGCCATTTACATGCGTATGAGAATTTGAGTGCGGACTCACGCTACGCTGAAACGCTGTATATGCTGTCGTCCGCTGCTCCGTCTGCTTGGCTGCTTGTCGTGCGGTGGGTCAGTGCTGTCTCAGGTTGAGCTGATCTCCGCGCGGTGAGTCGGTGCCGTCTCCGGTTGCGCTGCTAGCGTCTGCTTGCGGGGCTGGTCGGGCTGTCGTCGTAAAGGGCGTTGCGCCGTCCTTATTATAGTCCTCCGCAGCTACCAGGTGTCCTTGACGTATCGTTGAGGGTTTAGCTTACGCCGGTTATGCTGATAGCGTCTGCTTACGGGGAGCGTTGAACTGGTCGTCGTGCTATGCGTTGGTGCCGTCTGAATTCCTCCGTAGCTACCGGGTGTTCTCGACTTGTCGTCGAATTTTCGCTTACGGGGTTTCCGTTGGTCTTGTAGACTCTGTATTACGGTTTCCCTCTTTTCGAAATTTTCAGTTGCTGGTCGTCTCGGAGTCGAGGTGGATGGAAGGCAGATCCCACCGCTGCCACCAGATTGTTGTGCCTCTCGACGCAGTCGGGGCACGGGATGTGATTCGGGATCGTTTGCCGGGTTCACACAACGACTCTAGGTCGACGATTCAACAACCGTTTAAATAAAAAAGACTTCTTTATTCAGAACTATAATTCTTGCACTCGCGTTAACAGCAGTTAACCGTATCGTTACTTAGTTTAGATTGACCTTAGATTGCCTTCCTTCCTTTCCATTCCTTTTCATATCAATCGCGCTTGGCCCTGTTGTCAGGCCACTTATTGTTTAGTAAGCAGTTGTTTCGTTAGCAACTGTATGCGCGGCTTCGATGGATTCGTACTTTGCTCTGGATACTCGTTTTCGTCGCATGCGACAGGTGTTATCTGATACCTTGCCGCGTGCGAAGTCGTCGTCTGATGTGCGGTATATCGCACTCATGACAGTGCCTATACACATATTCAAAGAGTGAAACGTTCCTTTAAAAGAAAACAGTTTTTCTCTTTCAAGACCCCAGATAGCACATGGACGTCCACAGGATGTCCGATGGACGGCCGCATCTGGACATTCGGACATCCAAAGTACGTCCATTTAAGGCCCGTAGGATGTCCATTGGACGCCCATGGGATGTCCAAAATGCACTGCTTTAGAGATCCATAGGACGTCCAAAATACATCCAACTTTGGATCTATTTTGGACCTGTTTTGGACCTATAACAGACGTGTTTTTGACAAATGTGTACCTATATTTTGGATAGGATTTTAATAATTAAATATTAATTAACCAATTTATTTCATTGTATTTATATCTTGTCATACTTAGTGTATTATATATTTATATTAAAGATATATTTATATTATATATATAGTTAGATTATATATTTATCTCTGTTATACATACTCGTATTATATTAATTTTTATACTTATTTTATTTATTTTTGTTTTATTTTATTGATTTATATTATTTTAACGTGGTGTCTAGCAAAATGAAGTTCTATATTTCCTTGACTTTTCCAGGTTTTCTAGACTTTTTCCAGCATTTTAATTTTTAATTG